TTTGTGACTTGTGACACAGGCAACTTCATAATTTCATACAGACAGTAAATTCAAGTCAAGCAGACTTTAAGATAAGGTAAATATCTACTTCTAAAGAAAATAACGGAACTTCTGCTATACCAGAAGTCAGTCTCTTTCCTTTTTAGAGTAATTTTATGACCTGCTCATAATCATGGATTATACAAGAGCATTTAAATGTTGCTTTGAAGCCTCAGCCCTAAACTGAACAAAGCACAGTCCTTGCAGGCCATCCTCACAGGTAAAAGCTCTGACGTTATTATATGCTGAAATTTCAGAAGCTCAAACTTTTTTCAGTGTAATGAGCTTTCTACTACATCCCATGTAATTGTTGTGAATAGCTGATATTATCCTATGATGTTTACTATGAAACTAGGCCAAATACGCACATGACTAAACATAACTGTTCTCCTTTCATGTATTTCACAAGGTTCTGATCCTATATTCATTTATATCTCCTTGTAGCATATTTAAAAAGAAATACAGCACATGTATTTCAACACATATTCAGGCTCAACTAACCTACTAATTCATTCTAGGTCTGTATTTAGGAAATGTCTGCCAGTGAATCACTGGGAACAAGATGGATTATTTCTATAACTAAGGTGAACCATAGAAAAAAATGTGTGACATTGCTTCAGATTCCAGCCTGCATCAAAATGATTCTAAAATATTGAATAAAAATGACAGAATGATATATTTTGTCTGCAGTGTGGCAGCATCAATCATCTGTTACACCCAGCAAACTGTTAAAACAAGATCAGATTCAAAAAGCATGAAGGATGAAATATGACTTGTTTTCACAAGTATTTTGTTCCTATGGGTTACAGCTGATGTGTGCTGACAGGGCCATGGCAATGAGGCCAGCCAGGAACATCTCTCCAACCTACTCTCCGAATCTCAGTCTATCCACTTACACGGCAGTTTTAATACTGCTTCTCCTGAATGAACAAACTAGGCAAAGTACCATTAGGTAACAGTGGTGAAGTCCCTCCATTTCCATTGTAAGCACAGTCCTTTTGTGGCAGTCTTTTGGCTTTTTTTTCCCTTCCAAAGACCATACAAGCAAGCAACTCCCACTGACTTCAAAAGAAACTGCATCCCCATAGCAGAAATGACCGTTTTCCCTACTGTTCTTTTCTACTCTTTCTGTGAGATGGGCCAAATTTTTGAAACTAAAGCTACACTGTCAACATAGCAAAAAGCTGTAGAAAACACCAACTTCTCCATCCTCGATATCTGCCAAATCTCTCTCTTGCAGCATGCTCTGACCTGAACACCTGAGGCTCCAAATGTTTTCATCTGTCTTGCTCCAGTTTGTCCCTTCCTAAAAATATCATATGTTAGATATGGAGTATCTGCAGCTGCTATATGCAACCTCTTCTGGAGTATAGATAATTCCATCTATTGCATCAATAAAAGTTCAAATTATTTTTAAGCTGCAGATGCCAAAACCACTAGTGGGTGCACAAAACTGTACTCAAACAATCTGTGGAAAAGAGTGTGGCCTCTGAAACAAACAGTCAGGTTTAGCTGCCTTTTGTGATGATTTTGTAATTGATATCAAGGTTATAATACTCTCATTTAAACATCCTAAAGATGCTGAATCTCCCTGTTGCTGTTGCCAGTAATAGGCAAATAGCCTTAGATTATATCATATAGAGGGTTACTTGACCATGGCTTTCCTCCCTCTTTTATTTTGTCAATAGTGACATATTTCTGGCAGCTTCAATTTAAAGAGAAACAGCTTCTGGTGGTCTGGTTTAAAAGCTTCTTGTCACATGTAAACAGCTGAATTATTTTCAGCACATTTTCACAAGCACAACTACTTCCTTCCTAGTCTGGACAACTACGGACTACCAGAGTCTGTGCAGAATGCTAATCCACTTCTGCCAAGGTCCCTGGGATAAACATGGCTTTAAGAAATCACATTCTGTCAAGGGGCACAGCACTAGGATCCTCTGCAGAGAGACACATCTTTGCCCAGCACAGTCCTCAAGCCAATGAAAACTACCTCTGTGTAACTTTGGCCCTGAGGTAACTAAGTTTTCCACCTAAGTAGGACAGACAGAAAGAATATTTCCTCTCTCTCTCTCTCTCTCTCTCTCTCTGGTTTTACAGGCTAAACTCTGATCTCTTTTATATGAACAAATGACAGTCAAGTAGATACCTCTGACTAATTTTCCCCAGAGACATACTGTGTACCAGGAAAGGTAAACTGGCAGAATCCGAAAGGGACTTTTGTTAGAGGTATGTTGCCACTAATTTATACTCCTGTGGAATGGCTGGCTGACATGGTGAAATACTCTAGAGGCCAGATCTGAAAAAGCAATCCTTAGGAAATGAACAATCAATAGGGCTGTGCACAGATGATTCAGCTTCTGTAGCTTTCTTTCGCCTTTTTCACTTTAAGATGACAGTACAGAAGGTTTTTCATCCACAACTTCCAAACACTATAAAAAAACTTGTGCAGTTTTTCTACCCCATGTACCTTAGAATATTTTTGCTACTGAAGCTGCTGATGTAATAGTTGATATCCTTAGATCCAGAAGAAGTCACAGATACTTGAGAAAGCTGCTTCAGGGGTACAATATAAAAGACACAGGCATCTGATCTTTCATGGCATGCCAGCCATGCAGTTGGTAATCTACCAGTCTAATTTCCTGCTAGATTTCCAATTAAATGTCTCATAAAGGAAGAAAAATATAAACAAGGGCATGTTCTCCATTTTTAATCTGACTCTATTTTGTACACTTTCTGTGTGAACAAAAATCAATAACAAAACTTCATCAGTAGGATCTGTATTCCATGTTTGTTTCACTCACAATATAGGCTCTCTACAAAGATTTGTGTAGGTTGTCAATGAAATCACACACAACTAGGTAATAATAATAGCAACACCACCACTACCAACACTTACTATGAGAAGTTAGTTTGATTGCACACATTTCAGAAGCCATCGTACCTTCAGCTGGTTTATTCACACCAAACTTGAAGGAAGAACTAAGAAATCCAGATGCTGAAAGAAAGACTATTGGCGATGGCACCTTCTCCTGAGTTTTTAATGAAAAGCTAAATTAATGTGGTAGTAGGTGAAAATGTCACAGTAAATAACTATTCATCAAACCTGATTAAAACAAAGCCACCGACATTGTTGACCCTTATTTTAGAAATAATGGAAAAAAGGAGAGAATACTTCCAGGATCTGGTAGGTACATGAACAGGTGAGTTGAAGTAAGTCACATTCCTAAGACCATTTTCAAAAAGGCAGGCATGAAGATCGACAGCTACTTCTATGCAATGTCTTTTATAATACATTATATTATTACTGGAAAGATGAAATCTTTACCAGAAGCCCTGATAACAAACACTTGAGCTTTTTTTAATTAACAGTTGCGTGCTGTCTCTAATGTTCACTAAAACCAGAGAGGACTAGTGTTTTTAAATTCCCACCCAAAAGATTCAAGTCAGAGGAATACCAAATAATATACTTAATGACATCTCAAGCCAGTAACCACATCTTTACAATTGGGTACTGCTGCTGGCTTTATCTTCTTGAAGGAACATATGAGACCTCTATCAAATTTCTAGGACATGCATAATGGATGAATCCAACAAACATCTGCATGCAAAGGCAAGGATTTAAAAAGCAACAGTTGTGAGAAAAATGTCAAGGGTCTAGCTTGTCCTATTTTGCATGAGCTTTCAGCACTATTCACTAATGTTGGCAGAAAAGGTCTGGTTCCAATCTACAGCTACACACCTCTCCTGCCAAAAATTCCAACTCTGTCTCGTACACTACTAGTTCTGCAGAGCTTGACCATTTCTCAAATGATCCTCCACTCTCAGAAAGTACTGGATGACTCTTATTTTGTATTGGATAAGACATATAAAAGCATTAAAAAATCCACTGAGAAAGCCATACCTATCGTATATGTTTTCTTCTGCTTTTAAAAATTTTTTATTACCTTCATACTGCATAGAATTCCAGTAGTCTGTATCTAACTAGAAGGGCTTATTTTCTACTTCATTTCAAGTTAACTATTGACCATGCAGTCAATACTTGACCAGTGCATGTGTTTCAAATAAAGGCAAATAAAATCCAAGAAATGTAATTCTTGTCAGTCCTCAATTTTGCTTATCCTGGAGAAGCCCACTGTGACCCAGTGGAAGCTGGCACGTCCCTATGGCTCGTTTGAAACTGGGGTTCTGCCTAAGATGTTTTCAAGACTGTTCTAGCCAGTTACCTACCTAAAGGTGACATCAAAAACGTACTCGGTTTGGCAGTAACTTGGCCAAATGCATGTTCAGCTCAGCAAACATTTATAATATGTTCCCCCTCCCCCTCCATCTTTCTTCCTACCTGTCCTCCCTGCAGAAAATGGAAGAGAGCCAGAGCAACCAGTTAAAGAGCAAGCTGACGTAGGGGAGAGCCTTTCTCCTGTGTCAAATAATCTCCCTCCTGATGGCTGTTGGCTGAGTTTTCATTTACTAAATCCCATCACATTGAAGTCTCCGGTATCAAATGTACCAGCTGGCCCTGGCTGTTCTGCCTCCCTCCCCCTGTCGCCACTGCAGGAGCTGCACTGCCAGAAGGACACCTCACAGATCTGATGCTCTGTAAGCACGGCATGATCAGACCACTGGGTTAGTGCTACCTGAGTGTTAGCCCATCTGCACCTCTGCTTTGGCTCGGTTTCTCGTAAAGGCAGGAGCCTCTGGCAGGCAACCTGAGGGACATAGCTAGTGCTCTGACACAGGGCCATGTGAGACTGTGTGCCCTTTTTGGTTGGTTGGTTCTGGGTTTGGTTTTGTTTTGTTTTGGGTTTTTTTTACCCTAATTCGGTAT